AAATAAATGATCTCATACTTCATCTCAAAATCCTAGAAAAAGAAGAGCAAAACAACAGCAAAAGAAGTAGAAGGCAAGAAATAATTAAAATCAGAGCTGAAATTAATGAAATCGAAACAAAAGAAACAATTGAAAAAATTGACAAAACTAAAAGTTGGTTCTTTGAAAAAATAAACAAAATCGACAGACCCTTAGCCATGCTAGCGAAGAGAAGAAGAGAGAGAACTCAAATTACTAACATACGGGATGAAAGAGGCAATATCAAAACAGACACTTCAGAAATACAGAAGATAATCAAAAATTATTTTGAATCCTTATACTCCAATAAATTAGAAGATAGTGAAGGCATAGATAAATTTCTTAAGTCATATGATCTGCCCAGATTGAGTCAGGAGGATATAGACAACCTAAACAGACCAATATCAATTGAGGAAATAGAAGAAACCATCAAAAGACTACCAACTAAGAAAAGCCCAGGACCGGGTGGGTATACAGCAGAGTTTTACAAAACCTTTAAAGAGGAACTAATACCAATACTTTTCAAGCTACTTCGGGAAATAGAAAAAGAGGGAGAACTTCCAAATTCATTCTACGAGGCCAACATCACCCTGATACCTAAACCAGACAAAGACACTTCAAAGAAAGAAAACTACAGACCAATATCTCTAATGAGCCTAGATGCAAAAATCCTCAATAAAATTCTGGCCACTCGGATACAAAAACTTATCAAAAAAATTGTGCACCATGATCAAGTAGGATTCATCCCTGGGATGCAAGGCTGGTTCAATATACGGAAATCAATAAATGTTATTCACCACATCAATAGACTTAAAAATAAGAATCATATGATCATCTCGATAGATGCGGAAAAAGCATTCGACAAAGTACAGCATCCCTTTATGTTCAAAACTCTAGAAAAACTAGGGATAACAGGAACATACCTCAATATTGTAAAAGCAATCTATGATAAGCCTCAGGCTAGCATCATTCTGAATGGAGAAAAACTGAAGGCATTCCCTCTAAAATCTGGAACAAGACAGGGATGCCCTCTCTCACCACTTCTGTTCAACATAGTTCTCGAAACACTGGCCAGAGCAATTAGACAGACGAAAGAAATTAAAGGCATCAAAATAGGAAAAGAAGAACTTAAATTATCACTATTTGCAGATGACATGATTCTATACCTAGCAGACCCAAAAGGGTCTACAAAGAAACTATTAGAGCTAATAAATGAATTCAGCAAAGTGGCAGGATATAAAATCAACACGCATAAATCAAAGGCATTCCTGTATATCAGCGACAAATCCTCTGAAATGGAAATGAGGACAACCACTCCATTCACAATATCTTCAAAAAAAATAAAATACTTGGGAATCAACCTAACAAAAGAGGTGAAAGACTTATACAATGAAAACTACAGAACCCTAAAGAGAGAAATAGAAGAAGATCTTAGAAGATGGAAAAATATACCCTGTTCATGGATAGGCAGAACTAACATCATCAAAATGGCGATATTACCAAAAGTTCTCTATAGGTTTAATGCAATGCCAATCAAAATCCCAACGGCATTTCTTGTAGAAATAGAGAAAGCAATCATGAAATTCATATGGAAAAACCAAAGACCCAGAATAGCAAAAACAATGCTAAGCAGGAAGGGTGAATCAGGCGGTATAGCGATACCAGACTTCAAACTATACTACAGAGCAATAGTAACAAAAACAGCATGGTACTGGTACCAAAACAGGCGGGTGGACCAATGGTACAGAATAGAGGACACAGAAACCAATCCACAAAACTACAACTACCTTATATTTGATAAAGGGGCTAAAAGCATGCAATGGAGGAAGGATAGCATCTTCAACAAATGGTGCTGGGAAAACTGGAAATCCATATGCAACAAAATGAAACTGAATCCCTTTCTCTCGCCATGCACAAAAGTGAATTCAAAATGGATCAAGGAGCTTGATATCAAATCAGAGACATGCCGTCTGATAGAAGAAAAAGTTGGCTACGATCTACATACTGTGGGGTCGGGCTCCAAATTCCTCAATAGGACACCCATAGCACAAAAGTTAATAACTAGAATCAACAAATGGGACTTACTCAAACTAAAAAGTTTTTTCTCAGCAAAAGATACAATAAGAGAGGTAAATAGAGAGCCTACATCCTGGGAACAAATCTTTACTCCTCACACTTCAGATAGAGCCCTAATATCCAGAGTATACAAAGAACTCAAAAAATTAGACAATAAGAGAACAAACAACCCAATCAACAAATGGGCCAAGGACCTGAACAGACACTTCTCAGACATACAATCAATCAACAAGTACATGAAAAAATGCTCACCATCTCTAGCAGTCAGAGAAATGCAAATCAAAACCACCCTAAGATACCATCTCACTCCAGTTAGATTGGCAGCCATTATGAAGTCAAACAACAACAAGTGCTGGCGAGGATGTGGGGAAAAGGGTACACTTGTACATTGCTGGTGGGACTGCAAATTGGTGCAGCCAATTTGGAAAGCAGTATGGAGATTTCTTGGAAAGCTGGGAATGGAGCCACCATTTGACCCAGCTATTCCCCTTCTCGGTCTATTCCCTAAAGACCTAAAAAGAGCATGCTACAGGGACACTGCTACATCGATGTTCATAGCAGCACAATTCACAATAGCTAGACTGTGGAACCAACCTAGATGCCCTTCAATGGATGAATGGATAAAAAAAATGTGGCATTTATACACAATGGAGTATTACTCTGCATTAAAAAATGACAAAATCATAGAATTTACAGGGAAATGGATGGCAGTAGAGCAGATTATGCTAAGTGAAGCTAGCCAATCCCTAAAAAACAAATGCCAAATGTCTTCTTTGATATAAGGAGAGTAACTAAGAACAGAGTAGGGTCGAAGAGCATGAGAAGAAGATTAACATTAAACAGGGATGAGAGGTGGGAGGGAAAGGGAGAGAGAAGGGAAAATGCATGGAAATGGAAGGAGACCCTCAGAGTTATACAAAAGTACATACAAGAGGAAGTGAGGGGAAGGGGAAAAATAATATAAGGGGGACAAACGAATGTCAGTAGAGGGAGCAGAGAGAGAAGAGGGGAGGGGAGGGGAGGGGACGGGAGGGGAGGGGAGGGGGGATAGTAGAGGATAGGAAAGGCAGCAGAATACAACAGACACTAGTATGGCAATATGTAAATCAATGGATGTGTAACTGATGTGATTCTGCAATCTGTATACGGGGTAAAAATGGGAGCTCATAACCCACTTGAATCAAATTGTGAAATATGATATATCAAGAACTATGTAATGTTTTGAACAGCCCACAATAAAAAATTAAAAAAAAATAAGTTATTCGATGTACAACTTCCAACTGTAAATAAGAACATCTTCATACAACTAAGCATCAAGTCAGGACTTTTTATAATGGGCTGAAAAAAATTAAAGAAATTTCTTAAGTTCTAAACAGCTGGTGCTGGTGTCATGGAAGTGATTTCAGTGATCCTTAAGATGCAAGTGTGTCTCCTGGCTGTGGTGGTGATGGTCACATCAACCTATATGCATGATGAAATCACAGAGAACCATATCCGCAGAGTTGTAGGGGACTCGCAATGCCCCAGAAAAAACCTTCTTCTCCTCCTTTTTACACAAATTCTTCTAAAGATGATGAGAATTTCCTTCAGGTACATTTTCCGCACTATGTAAAAAAGTCAAAACTAGTACTTTTTTTTCTTTTTTGTAAATTGCTGGAGGTTTAAAGATAGACCACATGTTCCTATCAAAGAAATAAAAAAAGTTGACACTGAGAGAAAATTTAAAAAAAAGAAATAAAAAAGAAAAGCTGACACCTGCAGCTTCCAAAACCACTAAGAACACTTTCATTAAAATTAATGAAAATTAATTAAAATGTATCATTTTATTTTTTAATTGTATAAAAATTTATATTAAATTATGTAATTCATGTTAAATAATCTGATTTATCTTAAATTTTATTTAATTTGTTTACATTTTATTAAATTAATTTAAATAAAATTTAGTAAATTTAAAAATATAACATAATTAAATATAAATTTTATTAAATTAATAAACAATACTAATTAAATGATAAATTAAATTAAATATAATAAAACTAACAAAATTAATAAAATAAACCTAAATTAAATGTAAGAAAATTAATTTATATTTAATTATAACAATTTATTTTATATTAAATTTTATTAAATTAATTTTAATAAAAATGTTCTTAATGGTTCTAGAAACTACAGGTGTCAGAGAAACAATTTTCACATAATCTGCTTTCTCTCCTCTCCGACTTTGCCCAACTCAAGTTGGAAACTCTTGATTCATGTTTTATCTTAATTTACAAAAATAAAAAAGAGAAGCGTGTAGATAAATAGTCCAGATTTTAATGATACACTCTTACAAATTAACTTTTTTATTGGAAATGATTGATGTAATGACTCAAACTTAACGTGTAGAAATCATTTTCCTTATGGACATATTTAACACCTAGAAAATTGAATTTAACATGAAGTGACTTTTTATACAATTGAAAATAGTAAAATGGATAGGTTCATAGTATTTTGATTAAAAGAATCTTAGAATTTATCCACTAAATTTCATGTTTGGGCCCTGCAAATGTAATTTTCTTTTAGTAGTTGTACAATGTTTTCTTTGATAAAGAATTCACAACTTCTTGCTACATCATAGTTTGGATTTTTCTTTTTTTCTGTTATTTAAATGTATCATTTTTATTTTAATACAATTAAATTTAACAAATAATATCATTAAAAGAGAGGTTGAGCTGTATAGTTCACTGATACTGTTCTGATTCATAAAGTATTTAAGAACTGATTACTGCTTATGGTTACCTAATAACATCAGAACAAACTTTTATAAACAGAAAGTGCTACATCAAACAAAACAAAAAAAAAATTTTTTTAAGAGCTACATCCAAAAAAAAAAAAGAAAGAAAAAAGGAAGACAAAATACCCAGTAGCTCTATATATCAGCCTTTTTTCTTTATCTTTTTTCTATAAATACGGGACTTTTTTTCCAAAATGCCAAACTGTGAGAAGTACCTTGTGTTTATGGCTTCTTTAAAGTGCTAAATCATCTCTGGCTTAAGAATCACGTATTGCTTTAAAAGGTCCTTTAGTACAACTCTGGGGCTGTTGTCAAGGGGCATTGGCAATAGTGTACAGGTCAAATGAAGATGCCCAGGTCCATCAGGTCCAAATCCAGCTGCATTAATAAGAGTCACAGCTTCCAAATGGGGAGCCAAGAATGGTTCTTCTACCAGCTCTGAATTCTGCTGCATCTTTAAAACTTCCTGGTACTTTTGCCCCTTGCTTTCTCCTTCCTAGCGAGTCTAAAAGTTTCATGGCATGAACAGAAAGTTTTGGTGGTAGAATAGCTGGATGAATGTTAGGAAGGCCTTAGGCCTGAGCCTAAGCAACTCCGTTTTAAAAACTCCAGTTTGAAACCTGCAGTTTCACTAGGCACACCCACAGAGTCCTCCAGTATGTCCTCAAACAAATTGCTTCCCCTCACTCTGTTAAACAGAGAGAAGTCCCTGGCAGGCTGTCCTCTCCTGATAAGAGGGAAAGGGGAGAATCTCAATTAGGGTGGAGACCACCAGAAAAGTTGTTTCTGACCCCAGGGTAAATGATGTCACTGAGTAATCTGGTGGTAGCTGATAAGGATTGAAAGGGGGGTCAAAAGCCCCCAAATTTAGTATAAATAATAGAGCAAATGAACAGGAATTCAGCCAGCCCAAACAAAGATGCACTCAAGCTGGAAAGCCTGCTAAGGACCTGACATCCCATCACTTGTCATAATTTTCTGAGCCTCTGTGTGATCCTCACTGCTCTCAAACTCTACCGCCTCGTCTGGACCTTGGTGAGAGCCACAACTTCTCCCTAGGACCCTCTCCTCAACCAGTCGTCCACTGCATGCCAGGAAAAGCCTGCCTTGATTATGGACCTGATCACCGCAGTCTGAGTTAGTATGCATCTGATGGACTTAAAGCCTAAGGCTTAGGAATTTTGAATTTAGCACGCAGAGGAAATGTCTGTCATTAGCCTATCATGATTAAGTGTGTTTTGCAGTGCTTAGAATTAATCTAGAATTGTTTGCTGTGAATTAGTTATGTCTATTGCAGTGCTTAGCATTAAGGGTTGTTGCTTTCTTGATTAAGAACCTATAGAGTGAAATTAGTAATTTGAGTGAATAAAGCATTGAAAGGGGCAGAAGTACATAAACATTCTTTATTTCTCCCCTCAAGTGCATACATCACAATTTTGCCCCCTAGTGACAACGAGATTCTGTTTCCAGAAACTGAACAAAAAGTCCTGAAAAAGAACTATTAAGCATAGTTTTCTCATCTGGTCTCAAAGGTATGCTGGGGACACTTTTGGATCTTCTCATTTAAAATGTTCTCTTTCCATAGTGAAGTCTAGAGTTACTGCTAGAGGTCAAGGACATCCTAGGTGTATGAAACTGGAGACTATCTAGCAGGAAGAGCTCGTCTCTCCATGTCTTTCTGCTGGATAATTTGAGTGAGTTTCTCAACCTCATCTTTAGACAGCTGAACAATCTGTTTGGTTAAAGATATATTCCTTTCATTCAGAAGTTTAATCTCAAGTACTCCTTCTTTGATTCTTTTCACAAATTTTTCCATTTTGGCTTTACACATGTCATGGTTTTCACTCCCATTTTCTATATTAAGGCTTTTTACTTTTGTTTCTTGAAAAATATTGGCATTCTCTGTTTGAATGACTTGTCTCTCTTCATGCCCCTGGGCTTTTATTTGTTCGATGGTTTTCTGCAAATTCTTAATTTCCTTGTCTTTTTTAAAAAACAGTTGGGTATGTGCAGCCTTCATCTGCTCATACTGGTATTTCAATTTATCCATTTCCTCCTTCTGCTCCTGTAGAGACTGAAGTAGCTGCATTTGACTCTGGTTTTGATCTTCAATGACCTTTTGATGATGTGTAACTTCCTCTTCCAGATGATTCTTGATGATATTCAGTTGAGATACCTCAGATTCTAGTTCTGTGATACTATCGAGGGTTTGAGGCTCAGCCACAGCTCCAACTCGATTCTGCTGTTCCCTAAGTCTTTCCAATTCTTCTTGCAGATGACTGTTTTCTTCTTTCATGGAGCTAAGACTTCTGTCTTTACCCTCTATGGTCTGCCTTAAAGTTTCATTTTGTTTTAAGGCCTGAGAACACTTATCCAAATCCTTTTGCAGTGCTGAACTTTCTTGTTTGAGTTGGCCAATAAAAATTTCTTTCTCATTTATAAGTTGCATCAATTGCTTCTGTTCTTCTAAACGAGATGCCAACATTTCCTTAGTTTCTTTTTGATCAGTAGCCATTTGCTCAATATTCTTTTTGAGTCCTGCTATTTCAAAGTCTTTCTCTTGACTGAGTTGCACTACATGCTCCTGTTCCAGCTGTAAGGCAGAGGTATTACAATTACATACATTTGAGAGTTCCTGAATAGTCTGCCTGTAATTGTTTGCTTCTTCCAACAGTTTCTTTTTGGCCTGACACAGTTCTACTTCTATCTGTTCTTTCTCTGTTTTCAGAGTCTCCATAATAGTGTCTTTTTCTAGAGAAATTTGGTTGTTACCAGCAATAGATTCTTCCAATTGATGCCTTACATCTTCACATGCTGAAATCAACTTGTCATTTTCCATTTTCAGATCAAAAGCAACTTTCTTTAAATTTTCATTGAGCTGTTCTACTTCTGCAAGATTTTGCTTCAAGTTTGTAATTTCGACTTCCCCTTCTTTAAGCAAGTCATCCTTAAAATGAGAGTCTTCATTAACAGCATGTCTTAACTCGTTCTGAACTTTACATAGTTCCTCTTCCTTTTCGCTAATGAATTCCTTAAGTTCCAGGTTTTCCTGCTGGATATTTAAACTACTTTTTTGTGACTGACTTAGCTGATTTACTAAATCTTCAACTTTATCTTCAAGCTTCTGCTTGGTTAAATGCAAATCACGGAGGCTCAGTGCACTCTCACTTAACTTTTCTTTCTCTACATGCAACTCTTTAGTTATGTCCATTTTATCCTCCTCAAATTGATGAACTCTCTCTTTTTTGTCATCTAGATCTTGTTTCAATTTCGTGATTAGACCATCTCCTTCATTTTGCTGTTTTGATAGCTCATCTATTATCAAATTCATGTGCTTTGTAGCTTCCTGGTTCTCGTTGTCCAGTTTTTCTAACTCAGCTATCAGCATTTCCTTTTCGTTAATACTTTCATTCAGTTCTTGCTCCTTAGCGTCCAAGTTAAGTGTTAAGTCATGTATTTGTACATTCAAATTCATGTCTGTTGAAGCTGAACTTTTAATGACTTCATATTCCCAGCTCAATTTGCAAAGTGATATCTGAAGTTCTTCCTTTTCTTGACTCAATAATGATTTCTCTTTTTCTAAAACTTGGACATGCATTTGAAGTTTCAGATTGTCTTCAGCAAGACTAGTATCTTGTTTTAAACTACTCAAACTCATTTTTTCATTTTCAACATCAGACAGGGCTTGTTGTATTCTCAACACTTCTCCCACTGATGAACTCTGTGGAGAAATTGAGTCACCTTGGTGTAACAGCTTTTCCAGTTCTGCAATCCGTCCTTCATAGTCATTTGACTCCTGTTGATGCTGGTGATTTAACTCTGCCAGTTTCTGTTGATGTGCATTCTGCAAAACAGACATTTCATGTTGGTGATGATCCATGTCCTGACTTCGGTTTTGTTCCAGGACCTTAATAGTATGTTGTAGTTTGCAGATTTCACTGAGTCCATTACCGGATGAACAAGGTGCGCTGGTGGCTGGTACACCACCCGCTCCTGAAGGTACTGATTGAGCAGCTGACTGCAGGCCCAACACCTGCTCCTGTAGTGCCATTTGGCTTGCCTGAAGATGGCTGATTTCTACCTGTTTCTGTTGCAGTTGGTTTCGGTAACTTGTAGATTGAAGGTTTATTTGAAGCTCTGATGCTTCATGCTTTTTTTCCAGATCACTACAATATTTTTTAAGTCTTTTATTCTCAGATCTCAACCTTGATTTCCTGGCTTCAATTTTCTTTCTCTGACAATGAAGTGAATGGGCTTCCACAGCTTTGGAGACCTCCACAGGCATATCTATGGTGCAGTTGGAGACTTGGCCAGTGGGGGAAGCCAAGCTGCCTCCCACCTGACCCAAGGAGTGGCCCAAGCCAGAGCCTAGGCCTCTAAACCAGGATGACATTGCTAGAGCTTCAGAGAGCCATCAGCTCCTCCCTGAAAACCACTCTATGGCCATCCACCTTCCAGCTGAATGTCCTGGAGCACTGTGGGGGTCAATTATGACCAAAGCATTCAGAATTCTGGGCAGCGCAAGGTTCCTGACACCCTTGGCACTCTGCCTCAAATGTAGAGGCCGGCCTGGGCTTTGACCAGGAACTTGTTGCCAGGGCGCAGTAACCCCTGCGGGGCCTCTGCTCCCTCCCTGGACTTTCAGCCCTCTGGTTGGGTGACCAGATCCGTGGGCTGGTCCTGCCACCTCCATGCTGGCCATAAGAACACCCCCATCTGAGAGCCTTTGCCCTGTCTTGGAGGCCTGAAGTTGAAGGTCTGTCCTCAAGGATTCAAGTTCTGTTTTGTATGCAATCTAATCTGTTGGTGATGGTTTCCAGTGGAATTTTTATTTTTTTTAAATATATTACAGTGGAATGCATTACAATTCTTATTACACATATAGAGCACAATTTTCCACATCTCTGATTTTATACAAAGTTTTTGAACACCAATTCATGTCTTCATATATGTACTTCATATGTTCCAGAAAAAAAGTAAAATGGAAATGGGAATGTAGCTCAGTAGTAGAGCATTCTTGGGTTCAATCATTAGTACCACAAACCACTACCAGCACAACAACAAACAACAACAACAACAAAAAAGCTTAATACTAAGAATTTGTATTTATTGAGATTTTACAGTGAGCCACAGTAACATTGTGAAGTAGATCACAAATGTGTTTTAGAGATTATTTTAGATTACTTAGATTAGTAAATCATTTAGTTTATTTTAGGAACTGATTATTTGCTGTGATTCTTACATAAAGAATTTTTAATTTTTTTTTTATTTGTTCTAAGTAGTTATACATGACGGTAGAATATATTCTGAACATCACACATAAATGGAGTATGACTTTTCATTCTTCTGGTTGTACATTGTGTAGAATTATACCAGTCATGCAATCATATATTCATACATGGTAACACTATCTGATTCATTCTGCTATCCTTCCTACCTCACCTTGTAAAGGTCAGGCGAGCGTTGGAGGAAGAGACCACCAAGAGACTGTCTCATGCAACAGCAAAGGGTTTATTGGGGGTCCAGCATGCTGGGGCTCAGAGCTCACTTGAATAGAGCAAAGAGCCCCGAGAACAGTTTAAGCAGAGCTTATATACTTTCCTTGGAGAGGACAGGGAGGGAAGTTCATTGATGGGTCAGGGCGAGTGGGCGGTTTAATACATTCTGCAGTTTGGCAGTTGGGGACAGCACATTATGGGAACAAGATTAGCAAACAGTTCTCAAGATTATTAACCTTTCATTCCCCACTTCTTCTTCTGGCTACTTTTAATCATAAAAGTGATCACTGGGGGGTGTCACATTCTATGTCTACTAGTGGGGTATATTGTTGTCTGATTACCAAAAGTTTAACTTGTCCAATTTGAGCTTGGAGAAAAGAAGTTACACAGTTGAGCAAACAGGGTCCTACAGTTAGCAATAATATGAGGATTATTAATGGACCGGCCAGGGCTGATAAAAGCGTAGTTAACCAGGGGGACTGTGTGAACCAAGACTTAAACCACCCTTTTTGGGTCTCTCTCTCGTTGACGCTCTTCAAGGCGTTTTTTTAATTTACTTATAGATTTTTTTATAACTTTAGTATGGTCGGCATAAAAACAACATTTTTCCCTCAATGCAGCACAAAGGCCCTCTTCTCTCATGAAGAGGAGGTCCAACCTTCGCCTGTTCTGTAAAACAACTTCAGAAAGAGAGGTTAAAGATTCCTGCAAAGCTGTGATGGAGGTTTCTAATATCTTTAAGTTTTGGTCTATTGCTGCTTCTAATTGGGTCATTTGTTGTATACCATGGACCAGGGCAGTGGTTCCTGTGACCACCCCTGCAGCAACTCCTATTCCTAATAGCATGGCTAAAGTGAGGGATATATGTTCCCATTGGAACCGGGTTGTATGCCCCCCTGTTTCATCTTCAAATGAACCTGTGTCATGATAGAGCACTCTGGGAATCATCTGCACCATTACACAATTAATCACAGCTGTTGATCATTTCATGAAAACATAAAAATGTTTAAGTATATAGAATTACACTGTTGTAGGGACGGTCAAGGCAAGGCACCTAAGATAGCACCGAAGCTAGGGAAACAGTCCTATTTGGTTGCAAACGGATTTAGAGGGTATTGCTTCTGTTGTAATCAATTAATCCCATGAACCCCAAGTTTAGGTAGTTTCAGAATTTTGTACCCAACATGTAAGGGAAGAGGCTCAGAAGTTCACAGTCTGCAGAAGTTCACAAAAAGCAGGTTTTTTTCCTCTGTTCTGGGCAAGTTAACTTTTCAAGGACACCTGGGAGGGGGAGAGCTTTTTCTTCCCTTTCTTTTTTCCCCTTGCCAGCTGTTACCAAGGAGCCCAGTTGGTAACTTATTTATCTTAGAAATGTAGCCATTTCTGTGAAGCCCCAGCTCAAGGTCAGAGGCCTTGTTCACATATTTTGTGAAAAACTAGTATGGGGGTGTCTAGCTTAGGAGTGCTGATTGTTTTAGCCAGTGGCCAAGTAGAACAGGGCAACACGAAAAGAGGAAGTTTATCTACACTGAACTCTTTTATAGGGACTCTTTTGCTGAAAGTCCTAAAGTCAGCCATGGTGAAGACTTCTGGAGAAGATCAGTTAAGACTTTTCTGTGGGCCTGGGACAGAGGGGGAAGATGGGGAATGCGGGGCTTAGAGCAGTTCCCAGGATCTGAGAATGAGGATGTAGAGATGTAAAAGAATAATGGGAAAGGGTTTTGGGATCTTCCTAGCAACAAAAACTTGAGCAGTAGAACAGGTAGAGCAGAGGGGAAGACGGGAGTGAGTATCCCAAAAAGCCTGTGAGGGACTTTAAATTCTTAGTAACCTGTTTTCAGTGATGACAAAGCAACTTTAAAGGCCATTTTCATTACATCTTGGATAGGGGTCTGAGGGCTCTCCTCAGCTGGTTTGAGCTTTGGTTTAGCTGGTAAGAGGACCTGGTGGGACCCGGTGCGGGCACTGACAGGAGAAGAGAGGAGTGATTGGGTGGAGGGGTACCTATATTCCTGCTACCTCAGCAAGGGGGCAATGGTCTGAAAACCGGAGGATGTTTGGTTTTTGATCTAGTAACTGGAGGGGAGAAATCAGGTTGCTGAGGTGGGAGCGACAGCAGAGATTCTGGAGCAGAAAGCTGAGGGTGAGGATCTATTGGAGAAGCATAGTTCAGGATGTGAGCGAAGGAGGGAAAAGGCCTCAATATAGGGGAATCTCTTTTCACCCCTTTGAGCACTTGCTGAAGTTAAAAAGGTCATGCAGAATTTGAGGATCTAGAGACCCCTCTGTGGGCCATCAGTTTTGGTTATCTAATTGGTAATAAGGCCAATGCTGTGTACAGAATTTGATGAGGAGTTTGGGTTCCATCAGGTACTCCTTGTATGCTCACATCCCCATGACTTACAGAAGAAGTCGTCTTTCCCCACACACAGCGGTGACTGTTTGTGGCTTTGATAGTCCGCCGGGCAAACATAGTAATCTAGGCTAGCCAACATGCATCTGGCTCGCGTGTCCCTACATCCATAATGATTCTTTCCATTATCTATGGTACGGAAGGGATTTAATGGAATTTTAGTGGGATCCTCTTCATCAGGAATATCCCAGTAGGAAAGACGTATAGCCACCTGACAAATGTCTGGGTGGAGAGACAGCCACCAGGTCCCTAAGTGGGTTGTATGCGAGATAGACCATACTTCTTTTCCAGTAGGATTTGTGATCAGCCATCGCTGCTGAACGGGCTGATGAGGGTTAGGACTACTGGTGGTCAATGGGAGAGTCTATAGCCTTATCCACATGGCAAATGCACAATTTGAAAGTGTTACCAGTCTTTTCCAGTTTCCAGCCAGAGTCTGGACAGGGCACAGACTTGAGATTAGAGGTATGGATCCAGGAAGTGATTCTGTCTACTTTTACCACTGTAGGTGTTATAAGTAGCACCTGGTATGGTCCTTTCCAGCGGGGTTCCAGGGATGACACCAGATGTCGACTTACATAGAAGAAGTATCTTACTTCTTATTGATGTAGAGTCCCCACGTCCCCAGGTTGGTAGGCAGTGGCCATCTGTTTTCACAGGTATCCCTGAGTTCTTTCAAGAGCTTTAAGTCTGTCAAGCAAGGGGGTGTGGAAGGGATCGTTAGGTCTTAGCATTGGGGTTAGGTCCCTTACTGTAGGAGGGGCCCCATAGAGAATTTCATAGGCGGTGAGGTTACACAAAGAAACAGAGGGAGTATTTCTTGCATGAAACAGTGCATAAGGCAGGAGCATAGTCCAATCTTTTATGCCAGTCTCTAAGCTTAATTTTGTTATCGTCTCTTTAATGGTTCTATTCATTCTTTCTACCTGTCCTGAACTCGGTGGTCTATAAGCACAATGTAACTTCCAATTAATCCCCAGGGTCCTGGCTAACCCCTGACTTACCTGGGCTACGAACACCAGTCCATTATCAGACCCTATTACTTTAGACAGGCCGTATCTTGGAAAAATATCTTCCAGGATCTTCTTGACTACCATTTGCGCTGTTTCTTTTTTTTTTTTCTTTTTTCTTTTTCTTTTTTTTTTTTTTTCTGGGGAAGGCTTCAATCCATCCTGAAAATTTATCTACAAAGACTAGGAGATATTTAAGTCCATACCTTGCTGGCTTAATTTTAGTAAAGTCCACTTCCCAGAATTGTCCTGGTCTGGCTCCTCATAGGTGCTTTCCTGCAGGAAGCTTGGAAGGGTAAGCATTAACAAATTGATGGACCCGACAGGCTTTTGTTACCCATTCAGTTATTTCCTTTCACTGTGAGTCAGTTAGTGGAAAACTCTCTTCTTGATCCTTCAGGAATGAATGCAATTTCTTTGAACCAAGGTGAGTGAGTTGATGTACATTTTTAACATAGTGTAGGGCTTTCTGAAATTGCAGGCTGGGCTCAGTGAAGTCGAGGAGTTCAGTGTCAGTGTCCTTAGATGTTAAGTTGTCAGGGTGCTCCGACAGTAGTTAAATCTCCTGACTTATGTTCCCCCGGTGTGGAAAGTGTTAACGTGGTTACTCCATTTAGGGCTGCCAATTTAGCCTCTTCATCTGCCCTTCTGTTAGATGGGAGTGGTATCTGCACAACAGTTTGTTTTCTGGGCTCAGTGAGCCATCGTTTACCACCCCTAAGGGAATAGCCCAGGAAGATTACTTCTTGCTGGCAAATTTGGGCCTTTTTGGCAGAAGCTTTATACCTGAGTTGAGCAAGCTCGGATAATAGTGCTTGGGTCCCAGACTCACAGTTTTCCTTGGTGTCGGCTGCCAGTAGCAGGTCATCCATGTATTGAAGCAGGGTGACTTCGGGGTGCATAGTTCTGAAGTTGTTGAGATCTCTGTGGAGGGCTTCATCAAAGAGAGTGGGGGAGTTTTTGAACCCCTGTGGGAGTCTAGTCCAAGTTAGTTGACAAGACGTTCCGATTTCTGGGTTTACCCACTCAAAAGCAAACAGCAACTGACTACCTTTATGCAGAGGCAAGCAAAAGAAAGCATCTTTTAAGTCCAGAACAGTATACCATTTC